GCCAGCCAGTGGGCCCTGCCGCGGGGGGAGCGTCCTTTTCCGAAATGGGGGATTTACCCACAGGCAGCTGAGAATACAGCGAGCACCGGGGACCTGCAGGCCTCAGGGAGGGGGGCGCGGGAGCCCCGCCGCAGCCCGGAGGTGGGGGAGGGCGCCGAGGCACCGCCAGCGCCCCAGAGGCCCCCTCCAGCGCCCTCAGCCGGAGCCTGGCTCGGGGGGGGCGGGGCTTCCGCGGACACGTGGACTCAGCTCTGACCGAGCAGACAGACCTGGGTCTGCGGGAGCCGGGCTGAGCGGCCCCGCCGAGCTTCCTGCTGCGCCCTCGGGGACCCCGGGGTAGACCCCATTCTGTGCCGCTTGGGCAGGGGCCGCTGGGCCACCTCAGGGGCCTGGGGAGGGGCCCTGCCGCCCGCCTCTGGCTCCGCCCCAGCAGCTGCTCCCAGGGCTGTCCCTGGCCCTCCCGGCGCTGAGCATCTGCGGCTCCGGGCCTGGCGCCCCTGCCAGGGGCCATTTCAGAGGCGGCAGATCGCGGGGCCCCAGAGGGGGGCGCGGGAGCCCCAGACGGGTCAGCGTCGCACCCTGTGTTCAGCTGCAGCCAGAGCAGCTCGGGAGCCCGCACCCCGCCGTTGTCCCCCCAGACCCACCCCATCTTCAGCGCCCTTTGTTGGGGGTGACTCTCGCCTGCCGACGCCCCCGACCTTCAACACCTTCAGCACAGGCCCCCCTTGCTGCGACGGGGCTGTGGCCCCCCAGCGTCCTGCACCCCCATCCTACCCACTTGCGCACCGCCGTCCAGGGCCGTCCCAGCAGGCGGCTGGCCGGGGGCTGGTTGAACTTACATAGCGCCTGCTCTGCCCACGGAGTGGGGTGCACCTGAGCCAGGGCCCCGGAACAGCTGACACCCCGCTGCCGCAGCTCCTACTTGGCGCCCAGTGCGTCACTCACCCGCCGGGGTCCGGCCCTCGCCGGTCACTAAATGCGGCCCGCCAGGCTGCGTGGCCACGGCAGCGGCGCCACCTCACGCGCAGACAGCGGCACTTTGGGAGAGCGCGACCCTCGGCCACCGACGTGCGGGACGCAGCGTCCAGCCAGAGGACCGGCCTGGCTCGC